TCTCTCTGCCCTCCTCCTTTGGAGCAGAGATCTCTGTCTCCCCCCCTCCCCTGGAAGTGAGATTGCTCTGCCTTCTCTTGGAGCTGAGACCTCCCTGTCTGGAAGCGAGCTCCGCACGTTCAGAACCCAGGTAGGTCTGAGCGAGAAACTCCCCGGTCCCGGCTCCTGCTGGCTGCCTTTTCTACCGGGCCTCGACTTTCAGCCTTGGTGATTGTCGGCCAGGTGTGCCCCGAGGCGCCTCCCGCCCGGGGCTGGCTGCCGGGACTGCTCCCTGCGGCTGTTTCTTCTCAAGGCTCCCCATCACCTCCCGGAAGGCCCGGGGGGGCCACCCCCGCCTTTACCTTTGGCTCGCCGGTGGCCAAGCTTCATTGTTTCACACGTGCTGTCAGAAGGGGGCAGAGCTCTGGGTCAGGAGCCCTTGGGCTCTGTCTGCTCTCATCCCACCCGGGGTCCCAAGCCCCTTCTGCGTCTTGGCGTCTGTAGGAGGATGAAGGAGGCAAGTCAGGAAGAAGAGAAGAATTAGAGTGCCTTCCATGTTCAGAGCAAGTTCACGTCCAAGCCTGACCCTCCCGTGGTGCAGTCTCTTCCCTGAGGGCAGGGCCAGGTAACTCCTCTGAGACCTCACCCTCTAATTCCAGGTAGGTCAGCATCGAGCCTCAGAAGAGAAGGCAAAGACAAAGTCACCCCCCTCTGCCATCCCTGTCTTGTCCCTCCCCAGCTCAGTCTGCAGAGGACCAAAGCCTGGAGCCAGACAGCATGGCCCCTGGGACCCAGAGCCCCTCATCCCAGGTGAGTGCAGTCCATCCACAGACCTGCCCACATCAGCAAACCTGGAAGCCAAGAGAGCCAAGGAAGCTTTATCCTGTTAGACGCAGGTTGGCCTTTGCGGTGCTGTGGGCAGAGCAGAAATTGTCCCCCTGCTTCTGCTCATGTCCTCCTGCCTCAGGCCACACCAGCCTTCCCTGATCTCTGAATCCCTCTCATTGGCCATTCATTTCTTAGGTCAAGTCAGTAAACATAGAGAATGTGGCTCCTCTGTGCTAAGCCCTATGCTCACCTACTGGGAAGACAAAGGAAGGGGGAAAAAAATCAGTTCCTACCTGCAACGAGCTCACACTCTAATGGGGAGAGAACATGTCAGCGTCTGTGTCCAAACAAGCTCTGTACAGTGTGGATGGGAGGCACCCTGGGAGGGAAGGCTCTGGCAGTGTCAGAGACCAGGAAAAGCTTGTTTTCACAAGGTGAGATTGTAGCTGAGAAGTGAAGGAAGCCAGGAGGCCCAGGTGAGGAGGGAGGGCATTCCAAGCATGAGAGACAGCCACTGGGAAGGCACAGGGTCTGGTCCAGGATCAGCCAGGAGGCCAGTGTGCCTGGGTCAGAGAGGATGGAGGACCAAGGTGTAAGAAACCTGGAAAGGGTTTGGGTCTGGTCACATGGGGTCTGCTGTGTGCCATGGGCCTGACAAATATTATCTCATTTGATCCCATTGCCGGAATTGACAGGGTGCTTGCCAGGGACGGCTAGAGTAAGGCTGCACAAGATGCAGCCAGACAGGTACATGGCAGCTTCTTTGTCCACTCAGGAGTGTGACCCACGTCATCAATAGGTGATGGGCATGGCTCCTGCAGTTTTAGAGGTCACATATGCATGTACGTGTGTATTTATCTATATATATGTGTGTATATTCTTCTTGAGCTCATGGACCCAGAAAGAGTACAGTGGAGTTTTGGGGAACTTCAGATAGGGTCCTTAAGCAAGAAAAGGGTTGGAAAAGGGACATTTTTTTTTAAAAGAAGGGAAAGGAAAGAGGGGCTTCCACTCTTCCGAGGCCATTAGCATACCTGTTTGCCGCCTACCTAAGAAAACTGCTGCTTCTTTTATCAATCAGTTGGTTCATTAGCATTTGTTAGGCTGCTGCTCCTTGCCCTATTTGGTAGGATAAAGAGAAGGAGGGGAGTGCTTGGAACTCTTCCTAATCCTTCGAATTTTCTTTTTGCCATATGGGGCTGGGGTGGGTACTGAAGGAAACAGTTCCTGTCTAAGGGGCATCAGGCTTTAAGGCCTAGAAATACCGTGAGACAAAATGGAATCAGTTTTGTGATCCCCAGAATCCACTATGGGCACTCTTCTCAACAACCCTGTGAGGGAGATGCTCTTATTAGCTTTATTTCACAGTTGAAGAAACTGAGGCAAGCGGTGGTTAAGTGTGTTGCTCAGAATCACACAGTTAGCAAATATCTGAGGCCATTTTTGAACTCAGATCTTCCTGATTCCAGGCCCCGGTTTCTATCCCCTAAATCACCAGATTCTTCTAACTAGGGATAGATTTTGCCTCCTCCTTTGAGGGAGGATCCCTACTCCCCCCAAAAGAAAAGAGAGTGGATGAAGTATTTTTCATAATACCTAGAAGGACCCAAAAGAACTTTTAGAAAAATGCATATGCAGACAATGTCTTTGAAAGGGAAATGTTGAAATTATATACATTTATAAAGTTAACTGTTAGCCTGTACCTCAGTTTCCTTCTCTGTAAGAATGGTGATGATAATAGAACCACCTCTCACAAAATTTTTTTTGAGGATAAATCAGTCACCACTCATTAAGGGCCTACGATATGCTAAACACTGTGCTAAGCCAGGGAGATGGGAAAAAAAAACAAAAGACAATTCCTTCCCTCCAGGAGCTTACAATCTAATGGGGTTGGCCACATTGTAAGCAAATATATTCAAAGCAATGAATGTTTAGGATAAATAGGAAAAACTTAACTGAAAGAAAACAGGAGAATTAAGAATGGGGAAGGCTTCCTGTAGAAGATGGGATTTTAGTTGGGACTTGAAGGCATCCAGAAGGCAGAAATGAGGAGGGAGAGAATTCCAGCCAAGGTGGTAATCCAGAGAAAATGTCTGGATCCTAGAGATGGGTTTGGAGGAGGCCAGTGTCATTGGATCAAAGAGCCCCAGTGGTGGGCAGGGAGGTGTAAGAAGACTGAAAAAGCAGGTGATATCTGGGTCATGATGGCCATTTAATGCAGGAGGATTTTGTATCTGATTCTGGAGGTGATAGGGAGCCAATGGAGTTTCTCAGAATAACTTTATTGAAGTTACTGGAGTAACATGGTAGGCCCAGCAATTTGGATACTTCGCTCTGTGGGCTAAATGGAAGATGCATTGGAGTGGGGAGTATCTTGCAGCGGACTGACCTACCAGCAGACTGTTGTAAAAGTCCAAGGGGGAGGTGATGAGGGCCTGCAGTATCAGCAGAGAAGGGTGGACGGTATTGGTAACAGATTGGATAAGGGGGAGGAGAGATAGGGTTCCAGGATGACACCTCAGTTATGAGTTTAAGGGCCTGGGAGGATGGTGTAAATGGGGAAGATGAGTGGGGGAGGCTTTAGGGGGAAAGATAATGAGTTCTATTTTGGATATATTCAGTTTGAGATATTTATTAGATATCCTTTCAAGATGTCTGAAAAGAAGTTGGGAGGAGAGGTAGTTCAATTTGAAGGGCCTCAATTTTTAAGGCAAAATAAGAGGCAGGTCACTTAGATGAGAGTGTGTAGTCAGTGGTCAAGCATTTAAGGACCTACTATGTGTCAGACATTTTCCCAACCCTTGGAATTCAAATACAGAAAAAGACAGTCCCTGCCCTCCAGGAGCTTACATTGTAAATGAGGGAGACAGCACAGAATAAGAAGCTGCCAAGGGGCTGGGGTGGGGATGAGGGTGGGGAGAGAGAAAACATTAGACCCTGGGCTTTGGTGGAGAATTGGGTCAGAAGTCCCAGAGTAGTGATCTCATCAGAGAAGTAGAGTGTGGAGAAGAGGTAGAGTGCCAAGGCTGAAGAGCCATTGATGATGATGGTAATGACGAGGTCACCCTGGTCATGAGCTTTTTGGGGTGTGATGGAGAAGTCTGACACAGAAATTCCAAGGTAGTGGAGCCAGGTGAGAAATGAGGAGATGAGTGAGCTGAGCTCTTTGCTTAAATGGAGGTTTGGAGTTCATGGCATGACCGCATGGTGGGAAGGGATGGATGTGGGCAGATGGGGAGGGAAAGAGGGGTGAAATAGCTTCTGTTGGGAGTAAGTTAGAGATTCAGTTAGAGATTCATTGTCAGTCAATAAAAGGACTGTCTTCCTATAGAGATTGCCCACACTAAGAATAAATACTATGCAATGAAGAATCGTGACTCATGAGATCTTAAAGAAAAGGAAAGATTTGTAACGTCTTTGAAATCTCAAAAAGTGGGGAAAAAACCAGTAAATTCTCTGATTGTTCAGAAATTCAGTAATAGTAATAAAGAAAGTTAAAGGCTAAATTTGGCACATGATAGGTGCTTAAATGTTTACTGGGGCAGCTAAGTGTCACAGTGGATAGAGCTCCTGCTCTGATGTGAGGAAGATCTGAGTTTGAATCTGTTCTCACTTACTAACTGTGTCACCCTGGGCAAAGCACTTAGGCTAGTTTGCCTTAGTTCCTCATGTATAAAATGAGGTGGAGAAGGAAATGACAAACCATTCCATTATCTTTGCCAAGAATACCCCTAATGTGGTCACAGAGAATTAAGTGCAGCTGAAATAACTGAACAACAAACAACATAAATCAGATGTTTCAAAGAAGAAATCCAAATGATGAAAAAGTGAAAAGAACTTTATACATTTGATAGAGAATAATAAAAATAGAACTGAAAAATGGGGTGGGGAAGGGGAGGTGGAGAGATAGGAGTTAAGGGACAGCTAGGTTGTAAGTTTGAGGCAATCCAAAACAATAGAGCCTCTGAAAAAGTGAACCCTATCATTCTACTAGAAATGGAAGAAAATGAAATGGAAGAGCATCAGAGAGCAAGTGCAATGGCCAAACACGTGTTCTACATGTAGCAGGTTAGAAAAATGGATGACCCCTCCCAAGTATCAAAGGATTTGCAGATGTGGTCACCTTCTTGTGGTCATCAGTCTGCCTCTTAACTCATTCTTTTGACTCCTGGTCCCCAGTGTTCTAGAGTTCTAGGGGTTTAGTTAATTTCTTTCTCATAAATATCCTTTTCCTGTCATAGTTCCTCATTTCTACATAACCCGATATGAAAATTAAGGAATAAGTGCCATTAACGAGTAAAAGCAATCATATGCAAAGGTAGAAGTTGTTTTGGCTCTAATCTATCATACCTAGTGCCACCGTGAGCCCTCAGTAAAATGGTCGATAGCTCTTTTTTCACTTGGCTGCAAACAGTCCCATAGCACTTATGATGAGGAGGAATTTCACATCACCTTCTCTCTCTTCCACTGACTGTCCTACCTCGGTGATAGAGCATATACGTTCTTCCCAAATCCATACAGGGGACTATTTCATAGTAAGACATTTCTCTAAACTTTATTATTCCAACATGATTTTCACTTCAAATATTAAATGCTTTTCTCAATGTTCCCCTGGGCTTTTAATGACTGGTGTCAAGTGTTGGCTGTGACACTCATAAAGGTGATAGGAGTTCTGTGCTTCAGTTTCCTCTAAGTTGATGAGGGTTGGACTAGATGAATTCTAAAGTCTCTTTCAGCTCTAAATTTTGTGACATTTGATGGTTTAGGAATTGGTGACATTTAAGGATGTGGCTGTGGATTTCACCCAGGAGGAGTGGGGCCTCTTGGACCGTTCTCAGAAAGAGCTGTACAAGGAGGTCATGCTGGAGAATGCCCAGAACCTGCTGTCCCTGGGTAAGGACCATGTCCTCTGGTAACACTGAACCTGCCATCAAAGGAATGTCTTCATTCCCTCCCTAGAGTGCAGGGTTTGAGCAGTTATCAGTTACTCCAAAGGCAAAAGTGCTGGTCTCTCCACAGGGTCCTCCTGCTGCTGGTTTTCCAGTGAAAGGTCTTTGAGTTATGTAACGGGAAGCTGGGACTTTGCCTTGTTGCTCCTGAAATCGTCTCTTTCCTATTTAAATAGCTTCAGGTCAAAAATCAAATCAGTGTTAAAGATTCTTGGACTTGTAGTTAGTCTCAGAGGTTATCTACCTCTGACTGGACATGAATTTTGTCTGCAGAATCTCTGAGACACGTTCGTGCAGCTTTTCCTTGAAGGTGGGCAGTGAAGGGAGCCCTGTGCCTGCCGAGGCAACCCCTTCCTCTTGGGGAGGGGTCTGGACTTCAGAAGGGTCTTCTCATTAACAAGTGTAACTTGGTAGCTCCTTGCTCCTAATCTTGCCTGGTATAGCAAGTTTATCCTTATTCTTTCTTTATTCTTCCCTCAAATTCCAGGCCAGATGGTGAGAAAGGAAGAGCGTTTACATATATACCTACTAGGTGTCAGGCACTGTGCTAAGTAATT